AGATTTACTGGATCCCTTCTGGCCTTAGGAACCTCGGTGATTAACCGCAGGAAGGACGCCTCCTCCACCTGCAACTGTGGAGAGCAACAAAGAAGGGTGCGAAGTGCATGTGAAAATACAGAACCATCTTGATTTAAAAGCATTTGGGCAGGGCCATATACAAATGCCCCAAATATTTAAGACTGGAATAATTCCCACCCTGCCCCTTGAAACCAACCTGCATCTCTCCTTGGTCCTTTTCTTCTGCCTGGCTCAGAAGGAAGCCTTCAGCCAGGGCCACTGCCTGGGAACTGGTCTCAGGTTCACATTCCCGCACCCACTTCCCCATCTCCGATGGCATGATGGCCAGGAACTGCTCCAGGACCACCATGTCCAGCATCTCAGCTTTTGTGTGCTTTTCAGGGTTCAGCCATCGATTGCAAAAGCGATGAAGACGACTGCAGAGTCCTCGGGGACCCTCAGCATCCTGGTAGTGGAACTCCCTGAAGGGTTGTCTGTTTGCACCGAAAATGACCGTTTCTTCATTTTGGATCTTCAATCCTGCCTTTTCTTGAATTATCGCACTGCCTTCCATATGAAGAGAACCACAAAGTGCCAATCCTTCCCAAGCTGCTCTTCCTTGGTTCATTTTTCCCTCTGGGCTCAACTGCAATTCCCAAATAGCAAAGAAGTCTTTAAAGCTTCTTTCGTTCTCAAGGTGTGAGATTTTATCCTTTTGTTCTCAGGACCGGAAATTTATAAAAATTGTAAGGATGAATTTAACAATGAGGCTGCTCATTCATCTTTCCAGCTCCATTTTTCTTGCCTCTGTACAAGGAAGAGTTTCAGAGCCGCAAATTGCCTCATATTCCCAACCTGCAATGCAAATAATGGAAAAGACCCTCCGTGTATTGTCCCAAAGGTGCTTTTTTTCCCCCAAAAGGCAACTGGCCTTTCTTTGTTTTTGCTTGAAGACATTTTGCTTCTAAAGAAGCTTCTTGGATGAGAAGTGAAACTTCTTGAAGCAAGAACAGAGAAAGTCTAGTTGCCATGTGTGTGCGTGCGTGTGTGTGTGAGAGATCCCATGACCCCTGGTGCCTCTTCCCTGCCAGAGTCTCCCCCATGCTACAAATCTAGGAAAGGAGCGAAGAGTTCTCCACTTCTCTACTCATTGCAGAATACCTTATGCCACCAGACTTGAAATTCTAGAACTAGAAAACCTAGAACTACGCCACCCTTGGTCCAATCTAAGTATAGTACATAAAATTATACATTGCAATATCCTACCTGTAAATGAATACTTCAGCTTCAACCATAACAACACAAGAGCACACAAGAGATACAAACTCAAGGTAAATCGCACCAAACTTGATTGCAGGAAATACGACTTCAGCAACAGAGTGGTCAATGTCTGGAATACTCTACCTGACTCTGTGGTTTCTTCCCCAAACACTTTAACCTTAGACTGTCTACTATTGACCTCATCCCTTTCCTAAGAGGTCTGTAGGGGGCGTGCATAAGCGCACCAACCGTCCCTGTCCTATTGTTTCTTTTTATTTTTCTTATATGTATCTATTTCATGTACTCATAACTATGTTTATACTTATATCTGTTATCTTATAATTGCTTGACAAATAAAATAAATACATAAAATAAACATACATGTCTACACATGCATACCCACACAATGTATATGCATACATACGTATATGTACATATGTATATACATTTTGTTTGTGTATATGTGTGTATACATATATATATACATACACATACATTAATCATAGTATTGCAGCTCCTTTCCTGGATCTACAGCGGGGAGGGGCGGGGTGGTGGTGGTCTGTGGCAGGGAAGGGGCACTACGGTTCGGGTGGATCAGAGGGCGCGCTGTTTCCACCTCCTCCTGCCTGGGAGGAGCTAGAGTCACTCCGGATCGAGAGACCCCTGCTTGCTCCGGCCGGAGAATAGGAGGTCCGCGGGTATCCAGAGCGAACCCCGCATCCCGGACTCACCTGCACCAGACACCCCTAAAGGCTCCAGGAGGCACTCCTGTTTCCGGCTCCGCCCACGTTCAGCCTCCAGCAGGACAGGCAGCCGAAACCCCCCACCCCACCCCACCCCAACCTCCCAGTATAAGTAGGCGGGCCACTTTCTCGTCAAGGATCCCGCCTCCCGCGTCGAGATTGGCCGAGGGGCAGGAGAGTTGGCCAATGGAAGTGCAGCGCGGTTGAAGGCGTCTGCGGTTGCTGTGCAGACTTAAAACTGCCCGCCGCCCTCCTTGAAGTTGGTCGTGGCTCGCTTCTTCTCTCGGCGGCGAGGACCGCGCTCTCCTCAGCTCCCTAAGACCTAGCGCCTTTTTAAGCCCGCTCAAAGGAGGCAGGATGGAAGGGAACCGGCCAGGACCCAAAGCTTCATCCGAAGGGTGACTTTAGAAGTTGGGAAGCAAGGAGGAAGGAGTTCCCGCCATCCCCGGGGAGAAGCAGAGGAGCCTGAAGGAGTTTGAGAGGAAAGATTGTCGGAAAGACCCGCCATTTGGCAACGCTGAGGGGAGAAGAACTTGACCCGGGACAGATCCTGGACTAAAAACGAACCAGTAGGACAATATGGCCATCAATTATCAGTCAATGGACAAAGCTGTGGTAGAAAGTTATATTCGTAAGATAAAATTTTCCCTCATAAAAACACTGAGAAAGGAGGCATATGAATGTGCTCACTGGAAAAGGACTATAAGGTCTTGACCTATCAATGAACCAATAGACCAATACGGCCATCAATTATTGGTCAATAGACTGTTGGAAGTTAAAACCCACCCCTCTCCTAGGAAAATGGAATATTTCAGGATATACTAAAAAGGCAGAATATTTCCCCTAAAAAGAAAAGTGGAAATTCAGAGAGGCAGAAACTCAGTCCCCGCCTTTGCTAATGGGCCATTACCAGATCTGGCCTGGGCCAGTCTTATTTTACATAACAAAGATCTACTCTATAATTCTTCCAACAAGACAAGGCAGTGGTAGAAATGGAGTTTCCCTCATTAAAAACACTAAGGGAGAAGAAAGGCATATGTAAAAGTGCTGAAACTGAAGAAGAGAGTCATCTAATGTAAAGTCCAGACCAGTCGTGGGATTCAAAAAAATTTAGTACAGGTTCTGTGGGCGTGGCTTATTTGGTGGGCATGGCTTGGTCATGTGACTGGGCGGACATGCCTTGGTGGTCATGTGACTAGGTGGGTGTGGCCAACAATGTCACTCACAGCAAGGGGTGCCTCGCCTGGCCCTTCTCCTCCCAGCCATTCCTTGTCACACCTGGCCTCAAGGTATCTATAGTTCTGCAAAAATGTTGTTCACAGTTTTTTTACTTTATTATCTACATACTATAGATGTACTTTATTGGACCACTGAAAGGAGGAAATGGCTCACATGCTTTGCCCAAAAGGGTGATAAGCAACAGGCTTTTAAGGGGCTGCCAGTAAGAAGGGGAGGGCAATGTATTTTAGAAGGCAAACAAGAAGCAATGGATGGAAATTGAACAAAGAGAGAAGCAACCTAAAACTACGAGAAACTTCCTGACAGTGAGAACAATTAAACAGTGGACCTGCTTGTCTCCAAGAAGTTCTGGGTGCTCAATCACTGGAAGTTTTTAAGAAGACTGGATTTAAAGTTACAGTTTTTGTTGACCACACTTTGGACTTGATTCTCTGCAGCCAAAGGCTGTTCCTGGGAGAGTTTTTCTTCAACCAGAAGGTAACCAGGACACTGGGGACAAAGTTGGAGCTAATAAAGGGACTCCTACTGATTATCTGACTGTATTGCCTTTGTGCCGCACATTGGGTCATCACAACTTTGGACATTAGATAAGGTGCCCAACCAACTTTCTGAACTTCCTGCAGATGCTGAATTTATTGAAAACTGCCTTTCTTTGGGACTTAAATACTATACTAGGTAGATTTTTTTTAAAAAAAAATTAGATAATTCAACTTAATTAAATCTGGTAGTTTTAGGATCGATGTTAGGTGGTCCCATTTAATAATCAGGGAAGATCTAAAAAACAAGATAGGGACAGATCATCATGAAGAAAATCTATCTACATGATCATTAAGAGTCAACACTGACTTGATGGTACATCATTAATTGATCAATTTAATAATCAAGCAGTCATCTTTAGTTCCAATAGCAATTTAGAGACCATATTCAATCAAATTGCACTGCAGAAATCTCTAGAGACCTTGAGATTTCATGCATATTAAGGAATTCTGGTATTGCTGACTCTTGTAAGGTTGAAGCCTTGACATTGCAAGAAAAATCATTAAAAATACAAAGGAATAAATATATAGTGTATACTTATGTTGATAAACGAAAGAAAATCAAATGTACATTTTTTTTCTTGGACCCACCATCTGAAAAATGGAACACTGCTTATCATCAAAGACCATATACATGTAATGTTCAACTTACGATGAAAATTTATGCTGCTAAGTAAGACATTTACTAAGCGAGTTTTGTCCCATTTTACAATCTTTTTTGGCAGAGTTTAAGTGAATCATTCCAGTTGTTAAGCTAGTAACATGGTTGTTAAGTGAATCTGGCTTCCCTATTGACTTTGTCAAAAAGTCGCAAAAGTTGATCACCATGATCTTGGGTCACTGGTTGATCATAAGTATCAACCAGCTGCCAAGCATCGAAATGACCTTGGGGATGCTGCAACAGTCATGTGAAAAACACACATAAGTTTTCAGTGCCATTGTAACTTTGGACGGTTTTTAAATGATACAGGCTATCAAGTCACAAGAATGATAGGTCTCATCCTATTTTAAGCATTTATATAGTTAAATCCCATTGTGGCTCTCTTGTGGGAAGTAAGGTGACAACTTTGTGTAAAACACATTCCACATTCTAGGCATTTATACTGTTTCTCCCTTGTGTGGATTGTTTTATGGGAAGCAAGGGTGCTGGGATGATTAACCCTTTTCCCACACTGCAGGTATTGGTAGGGTTTTTCCCCTGTGTGAATTCTTTTGTGGTAAGTGAGATAACTGCTTGTCCTGAAACTCTTTCCACAGTCCATGCATTTATATGGCTTCTCCCCTGTATGGATCCTTTTGTGGGATGTTAAAGAACTGTTTGCACTGAAGCTCTTGCCACACTCGGGGCATTTATATGACTTCTCCCCCGTATGGATGGTTTTATGAGAAGTAAGGGTATTAGAATGAGTGAAACTCTTTCCACATTCCATACATTTATAGGGTTTCTCTCCCGTGTGGATCCTTTTATGGGAAGTAAGATCTGTGCTCCTCATAAAGCTCTTTCCACACTCCAGGCATTTATGTGGTTTTTCTCCTCTGTGAATAGTTTTATGGGTTCTAAGGCTACTGGAGTTACTGTAGCTCTTTCCGCATTCTAAGCATTTAAATGGCTTCTCCCCTGTGTGAATTCTTTTATG